GAACTCTGTGCCACCACTTTCAAGGAGCAAATTTACTCGTTAATCCGATCCGTACGCTTTGCATAGCAGTAGCAGTCAGTAAAAATGATTTTTTGAGAAATACTGAAAGTTTCAAAGAGATCTTCGCACTAGAAGTATTCTAAAATGTAAGAATACAAACCCAGGGGCACAAAACGACCCCAGGGCGTTTGGATAGGGTTAATATAATATTAATACAGGTATATTGTTGTAGATCTATGTGTTGACAGGTTCTGTTAGTTTGTTCACGGAGAGAGACGGACACGCAGACAGACAAACATACTCACAGGCACATTGAATCGTGTCACAAAGGGACTTTTTCAAGACAAAAGTACAACATTTTGTGATTATATACTTGCAAGTTACTGTTGAAGTGCTTTGTCGTCCGGCGATTTGTCGTTGACACACACTGAAGTGCTTCGTCGGGTTGCGATTTGTCGTTCACACACATTGAAGTGATTTGTCGTCCTGCGATTTGTCGTTCACACACACACACACACACACACTGAAGTGCTTCGTCGGGTTGCGATTTGTCGTTCACACACATTGAAGTGCTTTGTCGTGTTGTGATTTGTCGTTCACACACACTGAAGTGCTTCGTCGTGTTGCGATTTGCCGTTGACACACACATTGAAGTGCTTTGTCGTGTTGTGATTTGTCGTTCACACACATTGAAGTGCTTTGTCGTGTTGTGATTTATTTTTGACATACACAGTGAAGTGCTTCCGGATACATTTCCTTCGAGATCATATTTCAAGACTGCTATTCAACGTATATTGTGTTTATAATTTGTATTATTTAAGATTGTATTTTCACACCGAAGAACTTTCAACTTCAACGTTGGTCTCCTGCATTGTTTTATTCCTGGCCTAAATCAACAAGCGGTGAGTGTCTTTCTGGGTGTGTTGTTGTTGTTGTTGTTGTTGTTGTTATTGTTGTTGTTGTTGTTGTTATTTTTGTTTGTCAAATTGTTGTTGTTATTGTTGTTGTTGTGGTTGCTTTTTGTTGTTCTTTTTTCTTTGTAAGTTTCAGTAAGTTTTGCGGCACTCGCAAATATAATAAAAGTATACATGGCATGGTATGCATGTGTACAAGAGCCAAAGATTTGAGGTGTAAGAGAGTAAGGAAAAAAAAAAGAAGAAGAAGGAGTAGGAAAGATTTATTAATATTATATGTTAGGTTAGATGGAAAAGAAAGCAAACCACACCGGAGCACCCGCCAACCACCCATCCTATATGAGTCTATGTGATGCGCAACTTACTGTTGAGGTGATGGATGTCGGTGGTTGGAGGGTGTCACTGGTAGATTATTCTATTAACCTTACTTTCTTACCACCGGGTATTATCATTATCCTCCTCCTCCTCCTCCTCC